AAATTCTCCTTCCTCACCTCTCACTACCCCGTGTTTGAAGAAGTGTTTTGAGACGTCTCAAAACAAATTCTCCTTCCTCACCTCTCACTACCCCGTGTTTGAAGAAGTGTTTTGAGACGTCTCAAAACAAATTCTCCTTCCTCACCTCTCACTACCCCGTGTTTGAAGAAGTGTTTTGAGACGTCTCAAAACAAATTCTCCTTCCTCACCTCTCACTACCCCGTGTTTGAAGAAGTGTTTTGAGACGTCTCAAAACAAATTCTCCTTCCTCACCTCTCACTACCCCGTGTTTGAAGAAGTGTTTTGAGACGTCTCAAAACAAATTCTCCTTCCTCACCTCTCACTACCCCGTGTTTGAAGAAGTGTTTTGAGACGTCTCAAAACAAATTCTCCTTCCTCACCTCTCACTACCCCGTGTTTGAAGAAGTGTTTTGAGACGTCTCAAAACAAATTCTCCTTCCTCACCTCTCACTACCCCGTGTTTGAAGAAGTGTTTTGAGACGTCTCAAAACAAATTCTCCTTCCTCACCTCTCACTACCCCGTGTTTGAAGAAGTGTTTTGAGACGTCTCAAAACAAATTCTCCTTCCTCACCTCTCACTACCCCGTGTTTGAAGAAGTGTTTTGAGACGTCTCAAAACAAATTCTCCTTCCTCACCTCTCACTACCCCGTGTTTGAAGAAGTGTTTTGAGACGTCTCAAAACAAATTCTCCTTCCTCACCTCTCACTACCCCGTGTTTGAAGAAGTGTTTTGAGACGTCTCAAAACAAATTCTCCTTCCTCACCTCTCACTACCCCGTGTTTGAAGAAGTGTTTTGAGACGTCTCAAAACAAATTCTCCTTCCTCACCTCTCACTACCCCGTGTTTGAAGAAGTGTTTTGAGACGTCTCAAAACAAATTCTCCTTCCTCACCTCTCACTACCCCGTGTTTGAAGAAGTGTTTTGAGACGTCTCAAAACAAATTCTCCTTCCTCACCTCTCACTACCCCGTGTTTGAAGAAGTGTTTTGAGACGTCTCAAAACAAATTCTCCTTCCTCACCTCTCACTACCCCGTGTTTGAAGAAGTGTTTTGAGACGTCTCAAAACAAATTCTCCTTCCTCACCTCTCACTACCCCGTGTTTGAAGAAGTGTTTTGAGACGTCTCAAAACAAATTCTCCTTCCTCACCTCTCACTACCCCGTGTTTGAAGAAGTGTTTTGAGACGTCTCAAAACAAATTCTCCTTCCTCACCTCTCACTACCCCGTGTTTGAAGAAGTGTTTTGAGACGTCTCAAAACAAATTCTCCTTCCTCACCTCTCACTACCCCGTGTTTGAAGAAGTGTTTTGAGACGTCTCAAAACAAATTCTCCTTCCTCACCTCTCACTACCCCGTGTTTGAAGAAGTGTTTTGAGACGTCTCAAAACAAATTCTCCTTCCTCACCTCTCACTACCCCGTGTTTGAAGAAGTGTTTTGAGACGTCTCAAAACAAATTCTCCTTCCTCACCTCTCACTACCCCGTGTTTGAAGAAGTGTTTTGAGACGTCTCAAAACAAATTCTCCTTCCTCACCACCTCACTACCCCGTGTTTGAAGAAGTGTTTTGAGACGTCTCAAAACAAATTCTCCTTCCTCACCTCTCACTACCCCGTGTTTGAAGAAGTGTTTTGAGACGTCTCAAAACAAATTCTCCTTCCTCACCTCTCACTACCCCGTGTTTGAAGAAGTGTTTTGAGACGTCTCAAAACAAATTCTCCTTCCTCACCTCTCACTACCCCGTGTTTGAAGAAGTGTTTTGAGACGTCTCAAAACAAATTCTCCTTCCTCACCTCTCACTACCCCGTGTTTGAAGAAGTGTTTTGAGACGTCTCAAAACAAATTCTCCTTCCTCACCTCTCACTACCCCGTGTTTGAAGAAGTGTTTTGAGACGTCTCAAAACAAATTCTCCTTCCTCACCTCTCACTACCCCGTGTTTGAAGAAGTGTTTTGAGACGTCTCAAAACAAATTCTCCTTCCTCACCTCTCACTACCCCGTGTTTGAAGAAGTGTTTTGAGACGTCTCAAAACAAATTCTCCTTCCTCACCTCTCACTACCCCGTGTTTGAAGAAGTGTTTTGAGACGTCTCAAAACAAATTCTCCTTCCTCACCTCTCACTACCCCGTGTTTGAAGAAGTGTTTTGAGACGTCTCAAAACATTTCTCCTTCCTCACCTCTCACTACCCCGTGTTTGAAGAAGTGTTTTGAGACGTCTCAAAACAAATTCTCCTTCCTCACCTCTCACTACCCCGTGTTTGAAGAAGTGTTTTGAGACGTCTCAAAACAAATTCTCCTTCCTCACCTCTCACTACCCCGTGTTTGAAGAAGTGTTTTGAGACGTCTCAAAACAAATTCTCCTTCCTCACCTCTCACTACCCCGTGTTTGAAGAAGTGTTTTGAGACGTCTCAAAACAAATTCTCCTTCCTCACCTCTCACTACCCCGTGTTTGAAGAAGTGTTTTGAGACGTCTCAAAACAAATTCTCCTTCCTCACCTCTCACTACCCCGTGTTTGAAGAAGTGTTTTGAGACGTCTCAAAACAAATTCTCCTTCCTCACCTCTCACTACCCCGTGTTTGAAGAAGTGTTTTGAGACGTCTCAAAACAAATTCTCCTTCCTCACCTCTCACTACCCCGTGTTTGAAGAAGTGTTTTGAGACGTCTCAAAACAAATTCTCCTTCCTCACCTCTCACTACCCCGTGTTTGAAGAAGTGTTTTGAGACGTCTCAAAACAAATTCTCCTTCCTCACCTCTCACTACCCCGTGTTTGAAGAAGTGTTTTGAGACGTCTCAAAACAAATTCTCCTTCCTCACCTCTCACTACCCCGTGTTTGAAGAAGTGTTTTGAGACGTCTCAAAACAAATTCTCCTTCCTCACCTCTCACTACCCCGTGTTTGAAGAAGTGTTTTGAGACGTCTCAAAACAAATTCTCCTTCCTCACCTCTCACTACCCCGTGTTTGAAGAAGTGTTTTGAGACGTCTCAAAACAAATTCTCCTTCCTCACCTCTCACTACCCCGTGTTTGAAGAAGTGTTTTGAGACGTCTCAAAACAAATTCTCCTTCCTCACCTCTCACTACCCCGTGTTTGAAGAAGTGTTTTGAGACGTCTCAAAACAAATTCTCCTTCCTCACCTCTCACTACCCCGTGTTTGAAGAAGTGTTTTGAGACGTCTCAAAACAAATTCTCCTTCCTCACCTCTCACTACCCCGTGTTTGAAGAAGTGTTTTGAGACGTCTCAAAACAAATTCTCCTTCCTCACCTCTCACTACCCCGTGTTTGAAGAAGTGTTTTGAGACGTCTCAAAACAAATTCTCCTTCCTCACCTCTCACTACCCCGTGTTTGAAGAAGTGTTTTGAGACGTCTCAAAACAAATTCTCCTTCCTCACCTCTCACTACCCCGTGTTTGAAGAAGTGTTTTGAGACGTCTCAAAACAAATTCTCCTTCCTCACCTCTCACTACCCCGTGTTTGAAGAAGTGTTTTGAGACGTCTCAAAACAAATTCTCCTTCCTCACCTCTCACTACCCCGTGTTTGAAGAAGTGTTTTGAGACGTCTCAAAACAAATTCTCCTTCCTCACCTCTCACTACCCCGTGTTTGAAGAAGTGTTTTGAGACGTCTCAAAACAAATTCTCCTTCCTCACCTCTCACTACCCCGTGTTTGAAGAAGTGTTTTGAGACGTCTCAAAACAAATTCTCCTTCCTCACCTCTCACTACCCCGTGTTTGAAGAAGTGTTTTGAGACGTCTCAAAACAAATTCTCCTTCCTCACCTCTCACTACCCCGTGTTTGAAGAAGTGTTTTGAGACGTCTCAAAACAAATTCTCCTTCCTCACCTCTCACTACCCCGTGTTTGAAGAAGTGTTTTGAGACGTCTCAAAACAAATTCTCCTTCCTCACCTCTCACTACCCCGTGTTTGAAGAAGTGTTTTGAGACGTCTCAAAACAAATTCTCCTTCCTCACCTCTCACTACCCCGTGTTTGAAGAAGTGTTTTGAGACGTCTCAAAGACGTCTCAAAACAAATTCTCCTTCCTCACCTCTCACTACCCCGTGTTTGAAGAAGTGTTTTGAGACGTCTAAAACAAATTCTCCCTTCCTCACCCTCACTACCCGTGTTTTGAAGAAGTGTTTTGAGACGTCTCAAAACAAATTCTCCTTCCTCACCTCTCACTACCCCGTGTTTGAAGAAGTGTTTTGAGACGTCTCAAAACAAATTCTCCTTCCTCACCTCTCACTACCCTACGCCCTTGTTGAAGAAGTGTTTTGAGACGTCTCAAAAACAATTCTCCTTCCTCACCTCTCACTACCCCGTGTTTGAAGAAGTGTTTTGAGACGTCTCAAAACAAATTCTCCTTCCTCACCTCTCACTACCCCGTGTTTGAAGAAGTGTTTTGAGACGTCTCAAAACAAATTCTCCTTCCTCACCTCTCACTACCCCGTGTTTGAAGAAGTGTTTTGAGACGTCTCAAAACAAATTCTCCTTCCTCACCTCTCACTACCCCGTGTTTGGAAGAAGTGTTTTGAGATGTCTCAAAACAAATTCTCCTTCCTCACCTCTCACTACCCCGTGTTTGAAGAAGTGTTTTGAGACGTCTCAAAACAAATTCTCCTTCCTCACCTCTCACTACCCCGTGTTTGAAGAAGTGTTTTGAGACGTCTCAAAACAAATTCTCCTTCCTCACCTCTCACTACCCCGTGTTTGAAGAAGTGTTTTGAGACGTCTCAAAACAAATTCTCCTTCCTCACCTCTCACTACCCCGTGTTTGAAGAAGTGTTTTGAGACGTCTCAAAACAAATTCTCCTTCCTCACCTCTCACTACCCCGTGTTTGAAGAAGTGTTTTGAGACGTCTCAAAACAAATTCTCCTTCCTCACCTCTCCCTACCCCCCCGTTTTGAAGAAGTGTTTTGAGACGTCTCAAAACAAATTCTCCTTCCTCACCTCTCACTACCACCTGCCTGCTGGTTTTTGAGAATTCTCAAAGCCTGCTCCTTGTCTTCCTGCTCCTTGTCTGCCTGCTCTTGTCTGCCTGCTCCTTGTCTGCCTGCTCCTTGTCTGCCTGCTCCTTGTCTTCCTGCTCCTTGTCTGCCTGCTCCTTGTCTGCCTGCTCCTTGTCTGCCTGCTCCTTGTCTGCCTGCTCCTTGTCTGCCTGCTCCTTGTCTGCCTGCTCCTTGTCTGCCTGCTGGTTTTTGAGAATTCTCAAAAGCCTGCTCCTTGTCTGCCTGCTCCTTGTCTGCCTGCTCCTTGTCTGCCTGCTCCTTGTCTGCCTGCTCCTTGTCTGCCTGCTCCTTGTGCCTGCTCCTTGTCTTCCTGCTCCTTGTCTGCCTGCTCCTTGTCTGCCTGCTCCTTGTCTGCCTGCTCCTTGTCTGCCTGCTCCTTGTCTGCCTGCTCCTTGTCTGCCTGCTGGTTTTTTGAGAATTCTCAAAAGCCTGCTGCTCTTGTCTTCTGCTCCTTGTCTTCTTGCTCCCCCTCCCCAACCCCCCTGACAGGTGGGAGCTTCTGTCTTTCGCCGCCTCTCCTTCTCTCCCCCTGTGGCTCCTACCTCACTACAAACCAGGCCCATGCCTTTGCTGATTCCCTTTCCCCACCCATTCCCACTCTTCCGTCACACCACTCCCCATCCCTCCCACCGCGATCTTCTTCTTTCAGGTGGGAGCTACGTTCTTCCGCCGCCTCTCCTTCTCCCCCTGCGGCTCCTACCTCACTACAGTCCATGCCTTTGCCGACCC